GGTGATAAAGTTGGATCACATCTCTTACTTGTTTACGTAAATGTAGGTACGCAGTTCAGCCAAGAACGACGCTTTGAGCTCCCCTCTTTTTCTATTATGGTAGGGTCCCCTGTAGAGAAAAATAACATTTCATGTTTTGTCCACACCTTTTTGTGGAAATTAGTATGAAATTGCCTCTTATTTCATCGTGTATATATGTAAAGTCTCCAAATACCCGGATTCGTTAGAGTCCCCCTTGTAATACTCGTGAACGAAGCACACTGGGCGGGTGACGGGCGTGCTTCGATCGGATTCCGTTTTTCACAATGGCAACAAGCCATTGCAAGGAATTTAGTTCTTACAAGTAAATGCTCGAGTGTCCATGAATAGTACAATCGGAAAAATAAAGAAATGGTGCATGTATCCCTATATATAAGATATAAATATGAAGAAATGTGACCGCTCATGATGCACATAGGTCTCTAGATCAATGGGGCCCGACTCCAAAGTGGCTACGGAACTTGAAGAAACGCAAATTCAACGATCAACGCCAGTCGCACAAAAGTGAAAATTTTCTTCATCAATTGGAGGCACGATCGAGTAGCAGATACACTGCGAATGAAGTCGTTCAGTGAACTAATCCCTTTGAATTAGAAACTCATCGGCATTTAATAGTTGCTCCTCCAGGAATGTCTAAAACGTGTCAATTGTACAAATCGACATCACTCGACGTTGATGGCTTTCACCAACAATATAGAAATATCAAATTAACTAACCACAAGTTGGAATGTCTTAGAGCTATACTAGATTCAAAGCGTGCGTGTCTGAATGATCGTACCCGTCCATATCAAAAGCCCCACGGTGGGAGAGGCTCGTGACAAAAACTTCAAGTCTAATGATTTAGGTGACCCTCCCAATACTGGGTAATTTATAAAAATATCAGCAAGACTTCGGCTCCTCTATATACTTTGCACTATTATTAGCTATGTTCGAATGTCCAACCTAGTGACGTGGGATACTTCAACGTCCTCTCTCACATGTAAATAGGATTATGAACGACACGTGGAATTCGACAATCGGATACTTTAATAAATCATGAGGGATGCCAAAACACCTTGCCCCTATGCAATCTTGCGGGTCCAATCAATCTACCAACTTGCAAGTCTTTGATTAATTAATGTGCACGGATTCAAAGTCTTTTGTTAGGGAAGCTAACAATAATAATAATAATAATAAGCTGTGTGTTTTACCATTTCGATACCTAATCTTGAAATTAGCCCAAAAAGAAAAGTATAAAAAAAGGGGAGAAGAAGATACCTAATCTTGACATATGTTTGGGTCGGGTGGGTTATTAGGGCTCTCACTAACCGGTCTGACTTTCCAATTGACTACCAAACTGAAAAAGAGATTGTCCAGTAATAGCATGAGATCCCACAGTGAAATGATAACCTCTGCATGACGCCAATCTTATGTATTGCATATTAGATACGATTTTCTAGTCGTAAACACGGTTTCTGAATTTTCTAATCCTCTTCGTGCACGCGCGCGCACGGATGGTATTTTGGATTTGTCAAAGTTAAAACCAGTGTTGGTCTAAGACAATAACATGAATGTCCTTGTGCGCTGTCATTTCGGTTTTAGAATAGTCATTCTTCGTAACTGCTAACTTCAATTTTTCCACAGATCGTAACCATCCTCTAGATGACCCTTTTTTTCTCCCTCCTCTCCTTTTTCCGATGCCTCTCCTCTGGATGGCTAAATTTGTAAGAAATAGAAGGTTCATATGTCTCAGACTAGTCTTTGTTTGATAATGAAAGCTGGATACCGTTTCGTATACATGAAAATTGCAAGTTAGCAGACACCAATCTTATGTAATATATGTTCACGCAAGCGCACAGAGAGATATGCGGGATTTAACAGCTTCTTACATATTGTTTGTTGCCAAAGATGAGATCAAAAGCATTCCAAACAGTTGGATCATTTAAGTTGATTGACTGCCTAGTTCTTGTGATAACCTTGCGTGAATCAAATCTAAAATGAGGTCCATATCTTAACTAGCTTGATAGGAGCTTTACTTATGATTTAGATTCTATGTATCATAGTCAGGGGGACTTTTATACCGCCAATCTTCAAAATTTTGTGGAGAAGAAACCATGAGATGAATTTGCCTAGTGATGATTGGGAACAGGGTCTGAGAATCTAACATATCAAGTTCCAAGTGATTAGTAATTCAATAGCGATCTACCTCATACAGTGGTATTGCTTTGGCTTGGGCATCCGTTAAGCTAACTTCTCCAAATTGACATTTCTTTAGGCGTCACCAACAGCTCACTTTCCATTCTTACTTTTCTTCTATCACTAGTTCACTCAAAAAGATAGTTCTATCATCCATAAAAAGAGAGAGTGCAACAAGCCTGTGCCTGGTTATCCAAATTTGAGTTTGGATATGATAACAAATTATTATATCCAGTGTTTGGCGACATCCTCTGGACCGGATAAACCCGAATATAGTTGGATAAAATGTTAATAAGAAATCTGGGACAATGATGGGTTAAACCCGGATTAGGGAAAAATTATCCAAAAACTCCTAAACCTATTGTACTTTAGTTAATTCGATCATAATCCTTTTTCACATTTTGCCAATTTAGTACATTTGGCCAATTTTGGCTAGAAATTACTGATAGGGACGCTGGCCGTACTACGTGGCACGATCAACGCTGATGTGAACAATTTTTAATAATATTTTAATAATTATTTTCTCTTTTTCTTTCTTTTTTCTATCATTTCTTCTTCTTTTTGCTAATAACCGGCCATAGGCCATAGACGATGGTCGGCCATTGGCCATGGCTGGGCGGGCTAGCCTCGCCTGGGCAAGGGTCACCCTCGCTCGCCACAAGCAAGGCCCAACAAAGAGGGCGAGCCCCGACGAGGGGAGCCCTTGCCTAGGCTAGGGTGGCCTTGCCGGGTGCTGCCTTCGTTTGGGCGAGGGCCAACCTTGCTAGGTCTGGCAAGGGGAGCCCTCTCCCTGTTGGGCCTCACCTGTGGCGGGCTAGGGTGAGTCTCGTCCAGGTGAGGCTAGCCAGCCCGGCCATGGCCGATGGCTAGCCACTAGCAGAAAGAAAAAAAACATAAAAAATAATTAAAAATCGAAAAGTATTAAAAAATTATTTAAAAAATTATCCACGTCAGCATCAACTATGCCATGTAAGACGGCCGATGTTTACGTTAACGAATTCCGGCCAAAATTAGCCAAATGAAATCGAATAGAAAAATATGAAAAAGTTTATGGCTAAATTGGTAAAATTGAAAGATAGATGACTGAATTGGCAAAAATGTAATACACTTTAGACTTTTTAGACAATTTCCCCCTGGGTTGGATAATTTTATTTTAAAATAACTTCACAAAGGCCATTATTTTTCAACAATGGAGTAATGGAGTGACGCATCCGGATATTGCTTCACCAACCACTGCACAATCGTTGTCATCTCCGATCATCACCAAACGTCATTGCTAGCCAACCAATTGTGTTCCAATGATTGAGGGTGTAAAGGAGAAATTAAACGTCGGAGAACTCGAATCCGCTCATGAGTGTGCCAGATCTTTTGAGGTTGTCGTGCACAATAGAGACATGTTTGCTTTCGTTACTCACTGCCCTTGCACCGTCTACCTCCTCTCCGCCCCACACTACCCCCAAATTCTCGGCTTCGCCGTCAAGTGGAGCTCAAACTTCAAGCACTGTGTCAGCCACCTTGTTGCCAGCCTTCAACCTTTGCATCAACACTGCTGCCTCATCTACCAGATTGGCTGCCACCGTTGCCTCCCCGGTCGCTCTGTCACACCCTCGGCAGCCCGAGGCCAATCTAGACACTAGTGAAGTTGAGCAAGGACTATGGCCTGCAGGCTTGGCGAAGCTGGCGGCGAATGAGACGAACTAGAGGGAGCTTAAGAAAGCGGGTTTGACAACGCTAATGGGGGAGCTCAAGGAGCGAGATCTACAAATTCCGTGGGAGATTGTGCTGTGCAACTGGGACGTGAGGCAGCTTTTCCTCAGGCAAGTGAAGTACGCATGTGCCAACACTTACACTCATTCAAGTTGGGGAAGCCGATCGAGAGGACAACGGATGGGATGGCACGTTCAGAGCACAACGAGGAGTATCGGAAGTGACGGAGGTCAAAGCAACTGGAAATAACAAAAAATTTTAAAAATTTTCAATCCCATCTTAAATTACATCAAATATATGATGAAATTTTCTACAATCCAAAGGATATTTAGTGGATTTCTAATTCCACCTTATCCTATTCTAAACGCAGCCTAAGAGGATTATGCCACACAAGAAAAACCTGATGCAAGACGTAGAAATTATCCCATGAACATAGAAAAGAATCACCGTACCAAATTGACAGCCCGTTGGGTTTGGCTTGTTGGAGAAAAGGTTCAAAGAGTCGATGAAGCGTCAATTGTTTGACCTTATGCTCAAGAACAGTATCATGCATGACGTTAAACTGACTGCAAACATGATGTAACCTTCATAATCATGCTCGAGGGGAATCTGTTAAGTATGGGTCGGTACGTAGCAGAAATGAAGAAAATGGAAAGATAAATCGCTGATTTTGACATGAGAAAACGCCTCGCAGGGTACTATCTCCTGTAGTCACCTTTGGGTGGTTCATGGACTGATGAACAGAGAAATTGCAGTTTTACTCCAACACATTATGTTACGCTGTATCCAAATTGGCTTTTGACATCTTATGTCAAAACTGTCAAGAGCGTGTCAAGATCGAAAACCTCCGAGATGCTCCAAAGTTTGTGAGATGTCATACCGGAGTTGTGAACATATATATCTTGCGGGATACAATCCTAAGATGAATCCATGCACAAACTCAACGCTCTAAATACGCTGCACTGCTTGAGCAAAACCAGTGGCAATCAGCATGCTTGTGCGCTATAATTTAAGAAGGCAAATATTGGTGATCCAAGCTCTGATGCAAAAGCAGATTTAAGAAAAAACAACAACAGGAATAGAGCAAAAAGGCAATTATCATGTTCATAGAGTTGCTTATAACATCTCAAGTCTATCCACACTGCAAAAGGATTAAGCAAGCTTTCTTTAGTTCAATGAAGTGCCAACAGTGAACACAACCCCAGTATGGTAAGATTCAATTAAAATCTGCCACCTCTCAGTGCAAGCACAAGATGGAGGACAGAGCCACCCTCAATGTTGTAGTCTCGAGCTGTTTTATCGTCTGCAAGCTGCTTACCGGCATATATAAGCCTGTAAACCAATTGAAAGCGAAAATGATAAGATTCAGAGGTTCCATGCTAAAGAAATATCAACGTCAATATCAGTTTCGCTGAGGGAAAACAAATGAAATAATGGAAGTGGAGAAGACCATTGATCATAACTATATGGACTCACACACAGAAGACCTTTGCTACAGCCATCATTAAGAACCAAAGAATAAAAAGGTGGTGAAGTTTTTAGGAGATGTAAAAGCACCAATTCACCAAGACCTTTTGATAAAGACAGGAAGATATAGGATTATATCAATATATTAGTGCAAGCAAAACTGTAGATATAATCAAATAAAATCAGGTCCAATTTTCACGAACACCTCCCTCCATGTAAATACGGGAGAGTATCACTTCTGTGTAGTTTCTTATCCCTACAATGAAATTACTCACTCAACCAAACTGCTATGAACTCACATAAGAAAATAAAAAACTGAATTAAGTGGATGAAGAACAGTCTCATAAGTTTCAAGACAAATAAAGTTGCATTTTCCTAGAACAAGAAAGCAAAATGTTGACCGCAGAGAGCTTTACCATTTTCTTTTACAGTGAAGCAAGTGATAGAACAAGCCTGTAATATTGCCATCATCAATTGAACAAGCTAAATGCCATATATAGCTCGAAGACAACTCTCGGGAATAAACAACTACGAAGAGACCAGGAAAACAAGGTTTCCCCAGAATTTATCATAACCGTCCAAGCCACCCAAAGTTTCAAACGAGTGAGGATTTCACTCTGAGCTAAAGGATCAGAGATTTAGAATTAAAGGCATAAAACATGTTATGGTAGAGCTTACTTCATGATTGACGCTGTAGAAACTGACGAATCTACACCCATAAACATTGCAAGCTTTTAGATATCTCTCTTTTCCTTTTATTTTTTGGGAGTAGTAATTTCACAACTATCTCCACAGCAAAAGCCAAAGGACAGACACCCAGGAAACAAAAACTTCACAAAAAGAAAAAGGCCAAAAAATATATGAAGACCCAATCCCAAGTCTAATTAAACACAGCCCATCTAAGGATGCCATGAAGATTCATGAACCTATGCGCTATATTTGGTATAAGATCCCTAGGCAACAGACAAACGTAAACGCATGCCAAGAAAGATTTCATCTTTTACCACCAAAGAACAGTAAATGAGTCATTAGTTTCACTACAAAAGGTGAAGAAAAAGGAAATCAGGAACCAAGCAATATAAACTAACAGAAGAGAAACCCCAATCATTCATTCTGATTCCAAGGAGAATGATTAAGCAAAGCACTCACGTCAGTGAACCCAAAAATAGTATTTCTTAAACTGGATTAACTCGACCAGATAAGTATCAAGGATATCACAGAATTTCACAATCTACCAAATCTACCCACAGAGCAAGAACAACTGTACCATATAATACCTTAAGGAAGTTGCAGGAAACCACAGTCAGACTTGCAGAAAAGCAGGTATGAAACAAAATAAGGAGCAATTCAAAGTTCAAGAAAATTAGTACAGAGTCAAAAGGAACAGAATAACAATGCAATAATAGCACCAAATAGTATGAGAGAGAAAGAGTACCTTTGCTGGACAGGTGGAATTCCTTCTTTCTCTTCAACCCTTTCCTTGATACGGTCGATGGTATCGGTCGGCTCAATATCTATTTCAATTTCCTTCCCAGTAAGGGTCTTAACCTTGATCATAGTTCCTCCCCTGAGCCTCAACACCAGATGAAGGGTCGACTCCTTTTGGATGTTATAGTCCGCAAGAGTTCGTCCATCTTCCAATTGCTTACCAGCAAAGATCAATCGCTGTTGGTCCGGAGGAATACCTTCCTTGTCCTAATAGAGAAAGCAGAATTCTCATGTCAAACCAAGCACAAGCACCTCCATCCCATTAGCATATTGCTTACTTGCTCCACTTGGTTTCTACACATATAATCCAAAACCCCAATTGAAATTTGATTTTTTCAAAGGACGATTCCCAAGCATACCTCTCAGCGCAACATTTCCTCTACAAACCAACTCAAAGGCCACATACAAGATATCATCAGTCCATCAGAACTAGAGAGGTTACTCGTCGCTGTGACTTGACAAGACCGTCACATTACCGGTACACCAGAAGCCCAATCATCTAAAACCTTTTGCTTGCTAGAGAGATTCATCCCAGCAAAAACCCTAATCGAATGATCCTAAGGGAAAAACCGACCAAGCAAAAATCTTTCACCAGAAGATGAGCAGGCACGAGAAACCGCGCGAGAGGCGAAAACCAGCGCGCTGCCGCGAAAACACGACCGGGAAACCGAAAGGAAAGAAGCGCGAATTACGGACCTGAATCTTGGCTTTGACATTGTCGATGGTGTCGCTGCTCTCGACCTCGAGCGTGATCGTCTTCCCCGTTAGGGTTTTCACGAAGATCTGCATCGTCCCCTGCCTTCCTCTCCTCCTCCTCCTCCTCCTCCTCCTCTCGGTCGCGAGCTGGTTCGCTCTGAGGTGCAGATTTGACTCCGACGACGGAGTGGGTGTGGAAATGCGTTGTGCGCTTCTCTGTATTTATTATTAAATTATCATTCTCACGAAGTATCAAAATTGAAAGAAATTATTAGATTTTGGGATAACGACACACATACTCCTTGAACTTTGATTCAATATGCAATACAATATAGTCTCTAAATTTTAGCCTAATGTTCAACGTGATCCCTGAAATTTTAATTTATTTAATGTGATATTCAATGTAGTCCCTGAACTATATGAAAATGCTTAATTCGATCTTTCCATTAATTTCAAATCAAAACAACATTGAACACTTTCATATAGTCAAAGGATTAGATTACACATGTAGCAAAAATTTAGGGCTTACATTGAACAAATTAAAAGTTCAGAGACTATATTGCACATTGAATTAAAGTTTAGGAATTACATTGAACAAATTAAAAGTTCAAGGACCACATTGCATATTGGATTAAAGTTCATAAATCACATGTGCCATTTTCCCTTAGATTTTCTTGATTTATATTGCCATTGTATTACCCGAAGAGATACAAATGCCTTATAATTGAATTCTTTTATCATAAAAAAAATTAATATTTTTCAATTTCGAATAAAACAAAAAGCATCGATTTGAACCACAAAATATTTTTGAAACTTATATTCTCTTTTATTGAGAAAGTAACTTTCACAAAAGTCTAAAGAACAGTAATCGAACTTAATGGCAGTACTTCTATTAGATATTTAATGGTGGAAGTTAGTTCTTTAGTAATCGAACATGAATGAATTGTTCATGCAAGACATTACCTTTGTGTCAGGCCTTCGATAGTAAATGAAAAAAAATCAACATAATCCCTGATATCAAAAGCGCAAGTAAAAAAAATTTTAAAAATGCAGTTCGCTATTTTTCGAAAAACTTATTTGTTTGGGAAAAGCTTTTTGAAATAATATGCTTTCAAATTCATAATTTTTTTTAAATTGTGATTAAATGTTACCCAAAAACAAATCCGAATGATTTTGGTGTAGTGAAATTTGAATAATGGCCGAAGGACAGCTTTGTTTTAAGAGCAATTAGTCCTTTAAGCAAAATTTTAATACTGGAAATAAATGTGATTAATAAATCAAAATTTTTTTCTCTATATTTATATCTTTTTTTAATATTGGGAAAGTCTCTGTATCTTTAATTTAAAAAAGGAAAATGGCCGAATGTAATGGCTGCTATTGCTGGGTCCCCTTCTTATTCCCTATTTGTGTTGGTGGTGCCATGTTTGTACTTTTTTATTTTTTGGTCAGATGCCATGTTTATACTTTACTAGCATAAAAAAAAGGGGAAAAATCGAAGAAATATTCTAATCCACTAAAGTAGTATATTATTTGCTTAGTTTCCACGCTATAACAGATATTCTTTTATTGGTCCCTGCAATTATAGATTTCGATTGCAGATCGAAAACTATTTTCGAAAAATTGTTTTCCAACATTTTGGTACTTTGATTACCGAAAGCTAATTGCTTTACGGACAACGTTTTCGATGAACCGAATACAACAAGATTAGATTGAGGGAAAATAATTTTTTCTTCTGACAAGAAGGAAATCACTAAAATAATTTCTATTGATATTTTTCTTTATTATGAAGTTTTCAATGAGATAAACGCACAGTAAACCCGAAACATAATTGCAACCAGGTTAATGGTTAGTCACCCCACAAAATTAAGTTTAGCACCAAGTTGTATTCAATGTAAATAATTTGGACCTGGTTTTGTTCTGATTCAAGTGAATTCAATACTGGCTCAAGTTAATTTTTTTTTTGCCAATAGGCATGCGGCTCTACTGATAAAGGGATTGGGGACGCTAATATTACAGATATGGGGTTCGACTCCCGTGCTGTGCAAGAGGCAAAGTAAAAATCAGAGAGTGAGGAAAGTTAGTAATATGACATACAAAAAAAAAAGCCAACTTTTATTAAAAGTTCACATCGTCTAGATTTGACTAGAGCTTCGCAATTTCAGTCACTTTGTTATTCGGCTATTTTTTTTTATCAAAAATTATTATATTCATTATTCAAAATAATACATGAAAAGTACATAAATAGCAAAGGCAAATCAAAGCAAGCAAAGCTCATAATACTGGAAAACAAAGTCAAACCCGAAAACAATGAGGATCAACGAAGCATCGCTAAGGTTAAGCACACTTTCGTTTCACAAAAAACGAATATGTCAAGCAAAGTAATTGGCTATTGCTTACTGTATCTCATATCTTTGTAACGCTTGGGTTCGCCTTCCTCTTACACTATCATCATAGAGAATGACAACCAAAACAAGTTGAATGAATATGGATTTAATATTTGGGAAAGCAAATCTTTGTGGTTTAGAGGCGCTAGAGTTCCTACGATCACCATTGAATTTGAAGGCAGAGGTTTTATACACGAACAAAGCATCGAGGCATCAAATCTCCAAAAACATATTTATTAAACTTCCAAATCTAAATCGGGAAAAGAGAGTTATCATATCTAGATCGGGAGACAAGAATTGAAAAAAAAAAAAAAAACCTAATGTAGGTAAGACTAGCTCAAACCCTCCCTACATGACTAAAGGTTGGAGAAGACATGGAGAGAGATAGGAGCTAGAGATTCTTCCTCTCCCAATCTAGATTTCAGAGTTTAATGATATACTTTCGGGGATTCAATATCTTGTGCTCTATTCATGTACAGGTTTTCTGCCTCCAGCTTTAATAATGATCTCATGAGCTCTAGCATATCACTGAATCTCTTCTGAATGTTAGATTCAATGGTGATCGTAAGAGTTCTAGTATCTCACTAAACTATGGAGATTTGCTCTTTCAAATGTTAAATTTATGTTTGTTCAATCTGTTTTGATTGTTTCCTTACGACGATGATTTAGAGGAAGTCTAACCTAGACGCACACCGTTAATTGGCAATGCCTTATTACTGAAGAAGGCTTTTCCCTCATCATTCACGAGGATACGAGATCCCGGCCACAGAGTCTTCGAGAAATGGATATTCTCACAATTCGATGTCAAATGGAGCCAATTTCTTTTGGTTAGCTTCAAAGCTGCCCAGCCAAACAAAGCTCTAAAGATTCGGCAACACACCCAAGCACCAAGATCAGTCCAGCTGGGTCCGATCATTTTCAGCCTAATTGGGCTAAGTTGATCTCCGACTACATCGTGGTACGTGTGACTCTCTCTCTCTCTCGATCTCACTCTCTCTTGATCTCGTTTGCGTGGTATACACGGTGGATGGAGGCGACGACGATCAGAGAAGAATCTGCGAAAAGACGAACAATGACTCTATCGCCTAAGAGCAACTGGGAAAAGCTTGATCACGAACTTAGAAGCCAATTCAAGTAGAAAGACACTAACGAGCAATCGGAGCACAAAAGGAACTTGAAAGTCATCCCAGTGATCTCACCCTAGAATGAACAAGTACAACTTTCTTTCGTCTCCTCCCATTCAGAAATTAACCGCACCGTTGTGAAATTCGCGGCAACTTACTATGCACTTATACATTGATACAACATTATGTATAACGAGTTCCAAATTAAAAAAAAGAAAGGAAAGGAAAAAGAGTCTGAATAAACACTCGCTCTATTATGAAATCCTATCACCCATGCTAAGCAGCACATGCTCAGAGGCTAAATTTACAGGCGCTACTGCACTAACCTCCCACTAAACATAAACAAATATATCTAAAGAAGACCCATCTCGTCCATCATTTACAATTTTAAACCTCGAGAACACGATCCTCCTCATATTGACATGTTGAGATCGATCCGAGGTCTCTTTAAGCCCGGCAATGGTACCATCATATCGCAACTCGGGCACTTTGGATTGCTCGTCGAGATCAACACATAGAGCAAGCAACTCGGGCATCCTGCAGCCACTGTGGTTGGCGACACATTGTCGTCGTTCGCCTCTCGGTGCTTTTCTCTGATTGAAGACGATGAGGACGAATTAGAAGGCGATAACGAAGATGATGGCGATGATCTCCAATAGGGCGGCACGCACTTCTTGATTGGTTCTCGCTCTGCTTTCTCTAGAGCCGACTTTACTTTGTCGAGAGTGCACACACTCTGGTAGCTGCAGGACGAAGGCAATGACGGCGACGACATCAACTTCAAGTCTAAGCAAGCATCATCAAAGAGGTTCAGCAAGGGTTTCGATGGTGAGGGCGGGAAGTTCAAGTCTTGGAGCTTGGCGAGCCTTTGGTCGGCTTGGCGCTTGGGATCAGACGAAGACAACGAACTCAGTGAATTGCACCTTTGAATGTAGATTTTTCCTGACTGAAAGAATGAACAAGTAACGCCTAATTATATATATCTCGGATCAATACGGACTAAAGACCAAAAAACCTTATCAGATCGTTCTCTCTTGAAAAGTAACAATCCTCCCTTGCTGACAGAAACGAGTATCAGGCAATGACATTGAAAGTTCAGACATCTTAGTATGGTATGAATAAGAAGAATTTAACAGGACCAAGCAGGTAAAGCAATCACCAAATTAAACCCAGAAAGAAATCGCCAAGCAAAAGGAGCCTCATGTATGGCTTCATCAACAGAAACACCAGATACACCAAGAACCTCGTCAAGAGACAGGGCAGATTTTCGGCTGAGAAGCCAAGGAAGAGTGGTCTCAACAAATGTTATGATCGAAAGCTGCGATCATTCCTTATCTGGCATCACAAATACTACTACAGTTCGCTCACGAATCATCTTTCTAAATGCCCCTCGGATTGACTAGTGTCATGTACATTGCCACCTGACTATTCATGAAGTCATCAAGAATTTCGGTCACTGCCAAAATTCACTACGATTTTGCCCTTCGAGTATACAAATACACAGCCTACAACACGATGAGTTGCAAAGACATGATTCTGCTCTGTTTCACAAACATAGCAGGGCATCGATCAGGAAGCCTCCTCGCGAACATATCGCAAAAATTGATAACATCGCAAAAATATCCAGAATTGCACAGACTGTTCTGTAATCCAATTGTTGTCTAGGCACGAGCCGTTCCTACAAATTAACCTGCGATTCGGGAAGAAGAAGAAGAAGAAGAAGAAGAGCCCGATTCCAACGAACCTTCAAATCGAGACGCTTCTCCCAGCCCGCGGGCACCTGCAAGTCGAGGTCGAGCTCGCGAGACTCGATCTCGTGCAGCCCGCCGAGCAAGTCGCGCGTGACGAGCGCCGCCGGCTTCTCGTTCCCGCCACCACCTCCGCCTCCCCTGACGTGCTTGCCCTCCTCCTTACTGAACCCGCTCATGTACCCGACCGTGGAGCTGACATCCGCAGCCATCTCCCTTCCCTTCTCGAGATTGTTGGGGCGAACAGAGGAGAAGGAGAAGGAGAAGAAGAAGAAGCAGAGGCAGAGGTTCAAAGCGAAGGAGGAGGAAGCAGAGGGCGATAGGAATTGAACTTTCGCAAGTCCATCAGTGAACAGACGGAGGTGGAGGGCCGTTATATAACGCCGGGGGAGGGAGGGAGGGCGGGGCAGAAATATCTTTTTTTATTTTTTGTTTCTCGATTTATTCGAATTTTTTATTCGTTTCTTTTTTTTTTATTTATATAATGGGAAAATTATGAAAGGGAAATAGATCCATTAAATGGTGTGGTTAATGTTTCATTTATGGTTGCGACATTAAATGGGGGGGAGGAGGGGGGAATGGAAGCCGAAGGAGGCAGAAAAAATGGACGAGGAATTTAAGGAGGGGAAGTTATGTGGAGTTATGGTCGTATTCAATGCCCATGTAGATAAATCCCAATCCCAACCAGTTATTTCATTGAATTGAATCATATGAAAAATCCTTCGTTAATAATATTTGACGAGTAATATTTTCCATCTATTCATTTCTATATTTTTCCGACCAAAAAAAGGATATAAATTAATGCTGAAAATAAAATATCGTATCGACTTAGATGGTGTTTGGGCCGATGCAGTGTTTTGTAATGCGGTAGACAAGCAACTAGAATGCCGAGGACGTAATTGTAGCATCGAGGGCCATTCGCCCTTTTGATATTTGTTTTTTTATGGACATTTTAATTTCCGAATGACATTTGATTATAACTTCATAAATGTTTTAGAAATCATCTTTCCGTATTTATTGGAAAAACACTCTTCATAAGTGAACTTTGGTCCAGCCATCGAATCCCAAGTGTCGAATATCTAAATTCGATTCTATCAACGATGCAAGAAAGTAATGGAAATTCGCACAACACAAAAATTTACATGGTTCAGCAGGGGAGATGTTCCGCCTATCTACGTCCACGGGGAGAAGAGATCCGTTTCACTAATAACGTAGAAAAGTGTACAGCCACTCTTTCTCACGCCTGCCTCTTTTTTAGAGATCCGTTTCGTCCTAAATATATATAGCAAAACCCTACATGGCACAAATTACAAAATTACCCACATAGCCTAAAATATTTAGCTTTCCCATTTAAATACTTCTATGACCAAACATAAAATGCCTCTGGCGGCTCGGGGGCGCTGCCCCCATGACCCCCGCCGGGGCGGCCCCCCCCGGACCCCCCCCCCGAAGCGGGACCCCCGTGCTGTCCAGTCGTCAGGGGACCTTTCGAAACCGCCTCATAATCTCTTGGATAACAAAATACAAGACATCAACCTCAACACCAAGACCAAGTGCTCTGTAGGGTATGGTCAAAGCAAGTTCGACTCGAGCACGCGCAAGCCCACCCGTAGAGCAAGTCTAACGGAGAGTAACTATGCCATCTTCCCAACGGTATGAATTATGCGAAAAATTGAGAAAAAAAGAGCAAAATATCAAAAGGCAATATCAGGATATATGTCATATTAAATTAATAAAAGGCTAAACGTGATCCATTATGGATCGTGTAAGCTACTTAATAAACAAAGATTGCTCCCGAGTTAAAAAAGAATTTATATTTTGAAATGTTTAATTAATACTCTGAGGCATTCTTTAGTAAAATCTCCGAATAAAATACGAGGGTCCATTTAGTTTAATCTTCGAAAATGTTGGGGAAAAAAAAGGGTTATTATAATTTTGCAATGTGCATGAATGTACCTTACCAATACATCGTCTAAACCTAGCACTGTTCTATGGACAAAACCCTCTTCCATCTCTGGTTTTAAATGCTGTTTGGCCGAGGAAGGTGCAAGAATTGAATAACCCCCGACTTTAATTTTCTCAACTTTCCAAAATGACTCGTCTTAAATTCACGATGACGATGCGCGAACGTCGACACGGAAGGGTGGACCTTCTTAATTAGTTTTTTTGAGGACTCGAATCGGAAGTGTGTTTCTGGTTGCGTTTTGCTGATCCGGATTCAATTCACGGTAGATTGACTTACCCTTCTTTAAATCAAAAGCATTCAAAACACTTGCTCTTCCTTCGTCACCTAATCCCTAAAGATGGAAAAAATTGCAATTTCGATTACCCTTTTTCCTCTCCTATTTGTAATCGCGCCATTTAGGCATTTATGGATCCGTCCATTTACAAGAATCCTTAACAATCCCATGAATCTCATTATCAAGTGATATCAAGAGGGTTAATCGTCGAATCGGTAAGAATGATTGAAACTTTGCTTACTAGGAGAAATATGAAGTCTTGATTTGATTCCCGCTCCATGTGATCCATTGAGTTAGAATATTAAGGAGATTGTTGAAGAGCGTCCATACAACACTTGTTAAGGGTCGTCGATTACGCTTTGGCGACATGATGTTCATATTCAAAACTTATTTATTTTTTTTGAAAGCATGTGGATATGCGTGTTTACTATTTAAGTAGCTTTAACGAGTACGCCTGAGGCACGAATTGGTAAGATTGGAATTTTTAATCGTGGGCATTGGAGTTTTAGACACACCTGTCGTGTCAAATCGACCAGGCAATGATGACGAAACTTGTGGGTCGTACCGGCTTTGATGTTAAGTTCTAAGTCCAATAGAGAGGGAGAGGGAGAGTATGAAGTAGCGTTCCAATCCCAATCCCATCTAATATTTTTTGCACAGAATGCAGTTGCGATGTATTAATGTCCAGAAAATAGCCTTCACCTACACTCCTGAAGGCTTCCACTCGCACACTCGAAGAGACTGCTGGACTGGCGTTAAAGAGGGTTGCTGCGATGTGGAGGAGGAGGATGACTCTAAATTGATGATGGCCCCTATTTATGGACACCAATTCATTGATGCACCGAACCTCCTACAATAAATAACACTTAATCCCCCGTTTGAATCCCGAGAAAAGTCCTTTAAGGATGATGACCTACCTCCACCTCGGACACATCATTGTATGTTGCGTATGATCCCGGTATAGTTTAGTACGCGTACATCACTGTTTGATATGGATGAGTGGTACCCGATTCACTTATAGATGATTTCATGATCCCCGTTGGAAGAACTCGAGTCGATCTATACCTGCATCGAGGGGGATCTTAGCCTCATGTCAAGGAGTTTTGTTAAGGGGTGCCTTGTAGTATCGGTTGAACATCTGAATAAGGATATCTTGTCATTCCCATGGCCCGAATGTTCTTGTGTTGTGCACAATCAGTGCATTGAATATGAAGATATTTTTTCTTTTAATCAGGCATGATGATTAAGTACCCTAAAGGCACTCATTAACAATATCTTGTACAAGATGCTAGCGTGATAACTCCGACCATGGTCTAGCAATAAAGGATGCCACGATATCAATTAAGAGGTGAATAAGTGAAAGCATTGATGGAAATTAAAAGTGCCGTATAAAGTAATTGTTTTCCCTTTTTTTATGCCAAAGTCAAGTCATGCATAGACTAAAATCAGGAAATAATTAACAATAGCGTCTTCTTGCAACTTCAGAAGCACTGTAAATGGTGAAATATAAACTATAAAATGAAAAAAAAAATATTTTAATATGAGTTCTTTTACATATGACTTCTTTTACAATTTCCTCTCTATTTTATGAAGAAAATCTTGCAAGTTAAAGTGTCCTTTCGGCAAAAGGTTAAAAATTATCTATTGCACTTTGTTGAAACAAGATCCCCATAGGAGCTCGAATGGCTCGATCATATAAACCAAACAAATCATAAGTTTTATTTCACACGCAAGTTAGAGAAACTGCATGCGCTACAAAAAGGTTAAACTCATTCCTTCAAAAGTATGATCAATGCACATTCGCCAAATTTATGTCTTATGGCGCATGGAATTACTATACTTTTTAACTTATTTCGAATGTACTAACAGTAAGTACATGTTTCTTTTTCTCATTTATAGTAAATCTTAACGTGCGCTCTTATTAATAGGTTCTTCATTTGATTTAATAACAGTTCAGTTATGTCGACAAGTGTGCTAAGGATGCTGTATTAAATATACAGAGTTTCCCAATTTTAATCAGTAACAATTTCGATTATATAACGAGATCTATTTTATCAAATTTATAGGCACGAAGAGGAAGCTGGAGCCGAAAGCCTTTTCCTGTTTTTCGATTTATGTTAGGCCATCAAAGACCAGAGCATTGAATCAACGTGGACTTTCGAAGAGGGCTGGGTTTGGGTTTTAATGATCCTCTTTATGGAGGCAGGAGGTTGAACGTTACCATGCACCTAACCATTTGAGCCCCTTCATGCTCTCTGATGTCTTCTTGAGGTGCAAGCCATGTGTTCCTTCCTATCTCTCTCCCACATTCAATTCCCTTTATCAATGCCTACGCAGTCGATTGATTTCTCTCCCTCCATTCAATTGTTCTGGGGAGTCTGTCTGCTGGGGGTCGTAGAGTTTAAAAGCGATATGGATTTTGTTGACCATTGTTCTCGAGCACTTGTTAAACATCTGAATCGCAAGAGGTTGTCATTTCTAAAGCATTGTTTTTCTCGTGTTATGCACATTCGGTTTATTGAAAATGTAAATATTTCTTTATTAGGTATGATTGATGAAGATGGTTAATAAGACCCTTATTATAAAAAGCTAAAATTACTCGAAATTAAGTTATCTAGATAAGAACTATGCGCAAAAGAGAAATGTGAAATTTCTACAAATTTTCATGTTCATAATGAAGAGTACATGAGACTACTTATATGTTTTACGGGATGATAGTTCAAAGTAATAAAAAATATTACAATATCAATTATAATTAATTAGGAAGATATCCAGAATCTCATAAATATCTCTAACATTCCCTTCAAACTCAAGGTAACTAGAAAGAAATCCACTAGAGCTAGGAGAAAAGAACTCATTCGAGTGGACGTGAAAGTGCCTTTGTGAAGATATCGGCAGTTTGATTAACAGATGAAGTAAAAACGAGTCATACAATGCCGTGAAGTATGTGATATCATATGAAATGACGGTCTATTTCAATATATTTGGTGTGCTCATGGAAAACATCATTTTGGCCTATTGGAATAGCATTCCGGTTCTCACAATAAATGACCATTTCACAATTATGACGGACTCCCATTTTTTCTAATAACTAGTGC